TGAAAATAAGTGTTTTTGTTCCCTTTACAATGAGCCTTTTTTACGGGGTCCGCCATGTTTCTACAGTAGCCCAGAACAGACAAACCAAACACTGGCCTTTTCTTGTATGCCTGAGTTTTTTTGCGAGTTTTGCTGCCACTTTAGTTTCTCCTACACACTTCACAGCCTATTTACATTCCCAGACATTAGCAGTGTTCGGCAAGTTGCAATATTATCTCTGCTAGATGCCACTAAATCCTACACACTGGTCCTGTAAATGAGAAGCTGGACCCAGCAGCCAGTTAGCTTAGCTTAGAATAAAAACTGGAAACAGGGTAAAACTGCTGACCTGTTTGTGGCTACCAATATCTCAAAGCTCACTTATAAACACATTATATCTCTTATGTTTCCTCCATACGAAAAACACAAGTGTTGAACAACAAGTTATGGTTTTATGGGGGGTTATGGGCCCAACTATTTCTTGGCCCGTAACTTCCTGTTGTCTCACTGGTTGCCCAGTGGCTGCCCAGAGCCAAGAAATAGGCCGGCATGTAACCTTTAGTGAGGCTACATCATCACAAATATGTGATTGCAAATGAGTGACCGTCATTTTTATCACGCAAATGAAGATTTCAACACAAAGGAGAAGCGATTTATAGTCAGAGCAGAAAGTTGTATACATCATTGTAACAATTTCATGATTTTGCTAAACTCAAACAACATTCACAAAAAAGTTCTTTAAAGTCTGCAGTTATAAATGTAAATCTCTTTACAGTTTACTGATGTCATGCATCTCTGACGTGACTGTTAGATATAATTTAGATATATATGTATATATAGATATAAACCAGATATTATGCATTACAGGAGACCAAGCTTTTCTTTGTGTGTGTGTGTGTCTGCACAGTCTTTAGGGTGGACCTCTTCTGTTCCGGCAAGGTAGATGGAGAGGCTGTTTTAACAATGCAGCTCAATCTGACCATCCATGCCAACAACTACACAGTGCTCAACTTCAAGAGGAGGAAAATGTGCTATAAAAGTAAGTGTTTTAATAATCTGTTAATAATCAAACCATCGTATGAATAGAGGTACGCACCAAGAAAGTAGTGCAACCTTAGGGAATGTTTTTGTCAATCAGCATTATTATTCATCCACCTGTGGAGCTTTTTCATGGCGGACATCTAGAAAAAGCACAGGTCTAATTAAAAACAGTAACGATGCTGGGTTTGCTTAATTTTGTAACTGCTGTGTGTCAGATATAGATGATACAGACCAAATCAGATTTTTTTGCTCACATGTTGAATCAGATCAGAGATTATTATTTTTTTTTTCATGACAGTGTGAACAGCACAAACTACACGGAATTTGATCTTTTCAATTCTGATTCGGGCCACTTTCATATGTGGTCCAA